TGCAATAGCAATATGAAGCAATTAAATTCTCATAATTAAATTACTTATCTATAGCACTGGAGTTCAGCCGCTAGATCAGGGTTTCTCAACCATGGAACCCTAGGGTTCCTTCAGAGGTTGCTAGGGGTTCCTTGAGCTATAAGAAATGTCATCCTTTCATATAAGTTCCCATTAATACCATTGATCTTATTAGCAATCTGTAAGGGGAAAATACTTCCCAATGACCACAAGTATAAGGAGCATTCTTCCCACTGACCATCACACTAATGTATCATGCGTTCTAGATGTATTAAGATTTAGCAGGGGTTCCCCGAGAATGAAAAGTTATTTGATAAAGGTTGAGAAAGGCTGCTTTACGTAAAAATTCTATGTCTCTTCTGAGCACTTTATACCATCCTGCTCATCTTTAGCCCTTCTTTAGCTTTACGTAAAACCAATAAGCCAAGGCAGAGGATATTTCTGCCTATTTCACAGCAGACCTAGATTGCCAGATTATACAATGAAGTAATGAATCGTCATCTAAAATTGGGAAGTGTGGGTGCTACTGGAAACAGGCTTACTATGACCTACTTTCACCTATTTGACTACAAAAACAGTGCACCAATATAAGTACACAGTGGGGTTGATTTACTAGAATTGGAGAGTGCAAAATCTGGTGAAGCACTCCACAGAAAACCAATTAGCTTCCAAGTTATTTGTTAAAGCTTAATTGAACAAGCTGAAGTTAGAAGCTGGTTGGATATCATGCAAAACTGCACCAGATTTTACACTCTCCAGTTTTAGTAAATCAACGCCAGTGTGTGTTCAGTGTAATCTGCCATCAGTTGAGGCAGATTTTTATGGGTTTGTAAAACCTACCCTGTAGTGGTCAGAGCATACCTGTGAGTATTTCTTCTAGGGTGCCCTTCTACTTGGGGGAAAATTCAGTTGTATGCATTTATGGTCTGTCAGTGTATGAACCTGCACTGTCAAGAATTTTCTGTTCATCACAAAGAAAAACCCAACTCAGTTTATGAGTGTAAATGTTTGTGGCAGGTTTGACTATCTCATATCTTTAGATGACAGGAGCAAAGAGAAGCTCTTAGAACTTTCATGTATGACAGCGATGGAACGTGACCATTTAGTCAACTTGGACCTTACACATGGCTTCCTCTTCACTCCCAGCAACATAATCTTCCGGTGCAGTGGGAATATATACAATTAAAGGGCTGTCTCATCAAGAGAGCCTGACTATGGCCACCCAGCTCTGCTATTCATAGAAGCTGTACTACAGCTTTTATGAATGAATCAGGATCTATGAATGGAGGGAGCGGAATTATCAATCATTTGCCTGTCCTCAATTCAGAGAGAGATTTCCATTCATGGAAGCTGTAGAGGTTTTGAAAGCCTGCTAGCAGCTTGTTTAAAGTGGCAATAAGCACTCCCATTAGGATATGTTTTCAGTATTTACAAACCGGGAGTTGACTGGTACTTTACAAGCTTCAATAAAGTTTGCGGAAAGCTCTATAAATGCTTTGTCAAAGCTTGCTGTTCACACTGCTCTTATACAAGTTGAAGCCTATGTGAAACAGGCCTAAAGGAATGTTATATCCCCTATCAGTTGTATTGTGTCCTATTGGGGAGATTTCCCTTCACTTCCAGTTCCCTAGCCAAAACAGGAAGTGAGAGGAAATCCCTCCAAAGTGCAAGAAATACCTGTTGTCAGTAGGGTCACCAGAACTAGTACCTTCATAGGAAGATGTCCCCTCTATTCCTGTTCTGGTGACAACCCAAAATATCACATTTACTTTCACTTACGGTGATAACAGTAAACAGAAAAAATAGAGAGGGTGAATCTCCCTAATGGGGGCACAGGCAGCAATAAAAACATGACAGGTATCCTAATCCCTCTCCACTGTATCCAAAAAAAAAAAAATACCATTTTGCCCTTTTAGTTATACTTTATGCTCACCATACAATCTGACTGTACAATCTCATTTAGATCTACAGGCAACTGTTAGCATGAGGCACAAACAGAAGAAGGAGGTGCACCAGCCTTGTGCATTTCTTGTGTAAAACTCTAATAATTTTAAAAAAGAATCCATTGTACTCACAATAGGAGAAATAACATACAGTGGGTAAAATTATTATTTGATCCCCTGCAGATTTTGTACGTTTGCTCACTTACAAAGAAATGAAGGGTCTATATTTTTTTATCAAAGGTGTATTTTAAATTATGGAGACAGAATATCAACCAAAAATCCAGAGAAAAACACATGATACAAATGTTTATAAATTGAGTTGCAGTTCAGTGAGTAAAATAAGTATTTGATCACCTTCCAACCAACAATAATTCTGGCTCCCATAGACTTGCTATGTGCTCATGTGGTACACAGATTAGTCCTGCCAATTTAACCGATTCCCGCCCACAATGTACGGCGGCCAGGCGGCAGCTACAGGCAAAACGACGTACCCGTACCTCGCTCTGGCTGTACAGTGGAATGAAGTGGGATACAATGGAATGAAGATACCGGTGAACGGGACCCAGTGATTATGTGATCGCTATGCGATCACATGATCACAATGCAAGCAAAGCTGTTATGAATCAATCTAATTCATAACAGCTCTGCTTCTCTTTCTAGTGAGCTGTGATTGTCCCACAGCTGGCACATGATACATGGGGCCAATCACAGCACCCTGTACCATGTGACCAGCTCCAGCCAATCACAGATCCCTGTCTTGAGCTGTCAAAAACCTAACTCATTCATGACAGCTCATGAATGAGTTAGGTTCATGACAGCAAGCTTTGCCCTGCAGGAGAAATTATTTTTATTTCTCCTGCAAAGCAAAATGTAAAAAAAAAAAAAATCCCTGATCACCCCCCCCCCCCCACACCCCCCCCTCCCCACAGTAGTAGTACAATGTTACTACGGTAACTTTGTACTATTCTGATAAAAGTATTTCTTTTTCTAAATAAAAATATGTTAAAAAAATAAAACAAAAAATACCATATTGAGAAATGTAAAAGAAAAATTTTTTAAGGGTTTTTTTTTAACTACTCACCCAACCGCTTACCCACATTTTGCAGGTGAGCAGCAGAACTTGGCAAAGCAACGTAATCTTGCGTCACTTCCTGTTTTAGGGTATGAACGCACCTGCGCCCCCCGCTTCCCCCCCCGGTCGGTCCAGGGAGAGGAGAACACAGCACAGAGTAAAAGCACTACATTTTACACACACACGTTAGATTAGTACATTTAACCCTTTGATTGCCCCTATTAACCCTTTGATCACTTCGTCACCCAGCCAGTGCCATTAGTACAGTGTCAGTATATAGAATTTTTCACTGATCCCTGTATTCCTGCCACTAGCGACATCAGATAACGTCGGAGTCAGTAAGCGCCCCTCCCAGCCAGGGTCAGCTAGTGTTAGACTGCCGCACACTATCTCACTCACGCTATAGGTCGTTGATCACCTCCATTACTAGTATAGTGTTTGTATAGATCAATATAATGATCATGAACAGAACTATACTAGTGCCTCCTTTGTAAAGTGTCCCCAAAAACACACTGTTATCAGGATAGGCCCCGTTCTCTGTCAGCTCTAGCGTTTAGCCCCTCCGCTGTTTTTCACAGAAGATATGTACCAATTGATTGTGGGCCAAGGCAATTTATATGAACTACAATGCATCACCGCCCACCCAAATTCAGCTCTTGCAGACAATTTGCATGGAAACGTATCATGGTTTCTGAATTTAAAACTTTTTTAGGCCTAACCCTCAACATGAGCATTACAAAAAAGAATGAATTGCAGTCATATTGGTCCACAGACCCGATTCATCGTATGCCCATGTTCTCTGCTGTTACATATATGCCCAACGTGGACCAGCAATGTACTGGTACATTGCTGGACTTTGAGTGGTTATACCGGGATGATGCCTGCAGCTACAGGCATCATCCCGGTATCGTTTTTTTTCAGCTGCCGCCAGCTTTCATTTAAAAGCAATCCTAGTGGCCAATTAGCTGCTGAATTGTTTTTCCGAGCAGCGGGAAGGGACATTCCCCCCCCCCCCCTTCCTGCTGCGTTTGCACAGTTTTCTTGGGCTCTCCTGTCCCACAGGGGAATAGGAGAATGCAGCCGGCAGATCCACTGGCTGACCATACAGCTGATCAGAGACCAGAAAGGCTCCATCATCTCTATAGTATAAGAAATCAGAAGCTATGAGCATTTCATCACTTCAGTTTTGCAGGATATAAACAGCGCCATTTGTAAATTGGGAAAGCATCTGATCACACCGATCTTGGTGAGATCAGATGAAGTAATAGCAGAGGAGATATCTAGAGTCTAATAGACCCCAGATTTCTCAAAAAAGAATACCTATCAATGCCTGTTGCAGTCACTGGGGATATTTACATTCCCTGTGATAGCAATAAAAGTGATTAAAAAAAAAATGAAAGGAACAGTGTAAAAATAATTTAAAAAAATCAAAATAACGAAAAAAAAAAAAGCTTTGACCCCGTGACGGTATGTAAACAGCAGTTGCACCATGTATGTGAGGTATCAACATGAACATCAGATCGAGGGCAGTAACCCTGACCTCCTGTGTAAATATAAATTGGTGACCTGTAAAGGCTTTTAACCACTAGCCTACAGGGCACTTATACCCCCTTCCTGTCCAGGCAAATTTCCAGCTTTCAGTGCTGTGTGCACTTTGAATGACAATTGCGCGGTCATACAACACTGTACCCATATGAGATTTTTATCATTTTTTTGTGACAGATAGAGCTTTATTTTGGTAGTATTTAATCACCTCTGGGTTTTTTTTATTTATACTTAAACAAACCAAAAACCACAGAAAATTTTTGAAAAAAAAAGTTTTTTCTTAGTTTTTGTTATAACATTTTGTAAATAAGTGATTTTTCTCCTTCACTGATGTGCGCTAATGAGGCTGCACTGATGGGCACTGATAGGCTGCACTGATGGACACTGATAGGTGGCACTGATGAGGAGGTACTGGTAGGTGGCACTGATGGGCATTGACAGGCATCACTGATGGGCACTGAAAGGCAGCACTCATATATGGCACTGATAGGCAGCGCTGACTGGCACTTATAGGCGGCACTGATACACACTGATAGGCAGCACTGACTGGCACTGATGGGTGACACTGAAAGGCAGCTCAGATGGGCACTGATATGTGGCAATGATGTGGCATGATGGGCACTGGCAGGCGGCATGGATGAGCACTGATGGACACTGACAGGTGGCGCCGCTGGGGCTACACAGATCATCAGTGCCCTGATGATCAGTGTAGTTGTCCCCTGGGAGGAATGCCGATTACCGGCTGTCCTCTCCTCATGAGCTGTCAGCATGACAGCTAGTGGGGAGAGAAATGCCGAAAACAGGCATTTCCCTGTTTACATGTGATCAGCTGTGATTGTACACAGCTGATCACATGACCAAGCTGACATCTTCGGCTTTTTACGTGGATTGGTGACCCGCTGTGTCCGAGGCACACAGCACACCGCCGATCGCCGCGTGCTCTGGGAGCCACGCATGCGCAGTTAGAATGGGAGGACGTCATATGAAGTCCTCCCAGAACGAGAGAACCACCTTGCATCCGTCATATTACTATATGGCGGGCGGGGGGCGGGAGGTGGTTAAAGTGTCGCCTATCGATAATAAAAATGTACTTTGTTGCCATTGCACCGGCATGCTCAGTTTCAAAGCATGTCATGTTTGGTATCTATTTACTCGGTGTAACATATTTTTCAAACAGTTGGGCAATATATTGTGTTTTTGTGCATTCAAATTCTAAAAAGTGTATTTTTCCCAAGAGATTTCCATTTGAAAATCGCTGCGCAAATCCTTTATGACGTAAAAAAATTTCAACACCCACCGTTGTATTCTCTAGGGCCTCTGCTTTAAAAAAAAATATATAACGTTTGGGGGTTCAAAGTGCTTTTCTAGCAAAACAGTTTTTTCATGTGAACCAAAAGTGTCAGAAAAGGCTTGCTCTTCAAGAGTGGGTCATGTGTGACATAAGCTTCTAATGTTGACCCTGAAATGGCAGGATAGTAGAAGCCCCCACCCCCCACCCAAATGACCCCTTTTTGGAAAGTAGACACTCCAAGGTATTTGCTAAGAGGCATGGTGAGTATTTTACAGATCTCATTTGTTGCCACGTTTTTGGAAAATGAAGAAAGAAAACAAAAATTTATTTTTTCTTTTCTTTTTCAAAACCCTGTGACAAAAATAATATCTGTAAAATACTCACCATTCCTCTTATCAAATTCCTTGAGATGTCTACTTTCCAAAAAGGGGTCATTTGGGAGGGTGTTTGTACTATCCTGGCATATTAGAGCCTCCGAAACTGTGATAGGTAGTGGGGGAAGTGATATGAGGAAATATGCCCTTTGGAAGCCTGGAGGTGGTCATTGGATTTTGGGGGCTTGTATGTAGCTAGACTGCCAAAAAGTCTCTCACATGTGGTATCCCCATACTCGGGAGAAGTAGAAGAATGTGTTTTGTGGTGTTATTCCACATATACCCATGGCATGCATGAGCAATATATCATTAAAGTGGCAGCTTTGTATAAAAAAAAAAATGCTGACTATGACCCTAAGAACACCATCCCTACAGTCAAGCACAGAGGTGGAAACATTATGCTTTGGGGCTGTATCTCTGCTAAAGATACAGGCTGACTTTGCCACATTGAGGGGCTAACGGATGGGGCCATGTATTGTAAAATCTTGGATGAGAACCAGAAAACTGAAGATGGTTCGTGGATGAGTCTTCCAGCATGACAATGACCCAAAACATACTGCCAAGGCAACACTGGAGTGGCTCAAGAAGAAGCACATTAAGGTTATGGAGTGGCCTAGCCAGTCTCCATACCTTAATCCTATAGAACATTTATGGAGGGAGCTGAAACTTCAAGTTGGCAAGTGGCAGCCAAGAAACCTTAAGGATTTAGAGAAGATCTGTAAAGAAGAGTGGACCAAAATCCCTCATGAGATGTATGCAAACCTGGTAACCAACTACAAGAAACGTCTTACCTCTATGATTGCCAACAAGGGTTTCTCCACCAAGTACAAGTCATGTTTTTCTTGGGGATCAAATACTTATTTTACTCACTGAACTGCAATTCAATGTATAACATTCGTATCATGTTTTTTTTTTATTTTTGGTTGATATTCTGTCTCTATCATTTAAAATACACCTATGATAAAAATTATAGACCCTTCATTTCTTTGTAAGTTGGCAAACTTACAAAATCTTCAGATCAAATAATTGTTTTCCCCACTGTATAACTACATAAATGTGCACAACGTCCACTCTACAGGCGTGGCAACCTTCATGATAGTCTAATCTTCATGGAGCCCAAATAGACAGATCTTCTACCTTGAATAACCAAAACGGGCCACTGTGGATTTCCACAAACGTGAACCACCAATGTATGCAGTAAGGCCTTGCTACCCTCTTCAATTTAAGGGAAGAGCTCTGAGGAAGAAGGCATGGTCCTCGAAATGTGTTAGCTGCACCCAATTGATGGATATGCGTCTGGTGGTGTCTTGGTTATTGTAAATGCGTTGGTTATTTCTCCTTTTGTGAGTACCATGGATTCTACGTTTTTAATTTATGAAAGAGCTGTACAGTAACGCACTAAGCTGGTGGACCTCATTGTTGTGTTTGTATTGGTTTCCCCCAAACTGAAGAGTGCAGGAAGGCTTCGGTGCACACATTGGTGGTTCAAGTTGATGGAAATCTACAGTGGCCATTTTGGTAGTTCAAGGTGCAAGATCTGTCCATTTGGGTTCCACGAAGATTAGGTTGCCACAATTGTAGTGCGGACTTTGTGCACATTTATGTAGTATAAGGGCCTGTGTGACTAGATATAGTTTCAGTAAATTTTAAAGAGCTTGCACAACCAGATTGTAATATGGTATGGTCACCCTTTGGCTCACCATATACGTTGCAATCTGACCATACAATCTCTGTACAGTCAACTTTACATCTGCCAAAACTATTTAGTATGTATGGTGAGCATACACGTTTTAGCCTGGTTGTACAATTTCTTTAAAATTTACCAAAACCATGTAATAGTAGGACCTACCTAAATTATCCAATCAAAATCTAATCAACCAGGTAGGCCCTTCCACTACACACCTGTTGATAGATCTAAAGAAGATTGTACAATCAGATTGTAATGTGTATGGTTAAGTTTAGAGAGTGGAACGCTCTGTGTCTAGGGGTAGATTAGATCCTCTGAACACATCTAAAAACACATACATAGGTAATATTTAGGCCTCAAACACAAGGGGCATTTTTAATGCTGCTGTTGGGAGCATCTGGAATTTTTTTTTCTTGCCTCTGCCTGTTAGCCTAGAGTCCATGTACATATAGGTGTTTAGAGGCAGGAAAAAAAAACCCCCACGACTAGCATGTCCAGGAGCAACCATCGTTGGGCGCTTGATACAAGTAGATGTGTCTAAACACATGTTCATGCTAGGCATGTTTAGTGCTTGAGCGTTATTTTCAATGGCCAGAATATTTTTCTTTTCAAAAGCGAACCTTCCATTGAAATTCAATGGGAGCGCACCAAAAACCCATCCACGGTGCAGTGCGCTTTTAATGGCCCCTAGACTTGCTGCCCACGGTCTACACCCAGGACATAGTTGGGGGATTTACTAAGACTGCTGAACTCACAGAATCTGGTGCACCTATGCATGGTAGCCAATCAGCTTGTAACTTCAGCTTGTTCAGTTAAGCTTTGGCAATAAAACCTGAAAGATGATTGGTTTCCCTGCAGAGCTGCACTCTCTAGTTTCCCCAGTCTATATATCACTGCCATATAGATCTGTACAAGATCACTGTGTACAGGACATCAGCAGTGGTGGAGTCTCACACAGAACCAGGTGTACACACGTGACACAATGACCTCTCACTGCTCCCTGGAGCACAAACTTCGCAGAGAGTAAACTGAGGACTTCATTCACTTCACATCTCTGCCACTCAACCAAACAGAAGCCATACACAATGACAAAGCCCCGGAGAACATCCAACAACTCCTGTACACACCGCCATCATCTACACTAAATACCGGCATCGCTCTATAACTCACCGTGGTCACCGCGCATGCGCCCCCTGTAACATGAAGTGCCGCGAGATGACGAAACTTTGCCGACACGCTCGGGATCTCACTGCACTTCCCTGTAGCACAAGGCGCATGCGCCACGTGGTATTGGGCAGGCGTGTACAGTGGATAGAGTGAGGAATGTAGTGTAGCGTTGTAACTACGACACGGGAATAATGGCAAAGAGCATAAAGTCATTTAAAGTGGAGCTTTAGCATAGGAAAATAAATGGGCAGACAGGCGGGATATATATGACATATACTAAACTCAGGACCCTGCATTCACTATATCTGGTCTCCCACAGTACACAGAACAGGGACATGTAATTATTTTAGTAAATATCAGGGGCAGACTAACAACTCATGGGGCCCCCAGGCAATAGGGAATCATGGGGCCCCTGTGTCCTTGCCCAATCTCAAAAAAAGCCTATGAAAAAGGTACCAGGGGCATCTCATAGGGCACCCTACTGACTCTGGGCCCTTGGGTAGTGCCCGAGTTTCCAAATGGTCAGTCCACCCCTGGTAAATATAAACTGCTAAATACCTTTTCTCATCAGCAGTTAGAGCAGTATTCTGACTTCTATCAGTGTCCAGCAGAGCACTGGTTAAAGCTTGTAGGAGGAGTTTTCATTCTCTTCTGACTGTCCTCATGAGGCTGCATGACCCTGACAGTGCTGATTGGCCCTGTGGTAATCACGTGCACCCTCCCAAAAAAAAAGATAGCAATACACTATACTGAGCATGTGCAGGGTGACTCCTAGAGCCCTGTTCTATCACCAGTTGGATTGGGGACAGTAGAAGGGGATGATCAGAGAAGACAGGATCGAACAGCCTTTTTACACAATGCAGAGGATTAACCTCTTAGGTTTCACAATGAATATAACAAACATGCTTTACTGCATATACAGACTGATTTTACAATTCTGGGTTTAGTAACACTTTAAGCTACTTACCTTCCTGTCCTCCCATGTACGGTAAGCTGCGTATGCGCAGCTCTCTGCACAAATTCGGCAATATCTAATCTGATGAAACTCCCATGCATGTATGGGACTGATGCCATCTCTGCCGCTGCCAATGACAGCGGCCAGCAATTGAGACCCAGACGCCTGCTGCCCAAAATGTCAGGGGGAATTCCGGGGATGGCACATTGCTGCATTCTAGGTGAGTATAGTTCCGCTTTAGGAAAAGAAGTATAAATAAGGAGAGAAGTAACATAGGAAGGCAGTAAACTTGTAAAAGCAAAATGTGTTCAGTAAAGTTTAAAGACGTATTCCAAATATGGGTATTTTATACATTGAACCAATGTAGGTAACTAGGTCAGCATACCTGGCCGATGCCCTGAAAGATGGAAATCACTGTAGTGTA